AGGGTTTATAGGGTTTAGGGTTTATAGGGTTTACGGGCAAGCACCATCTAGAAGTTGACAGATCCAGGCATTTGCCATTGCATCTGTTCATGAATATAGGACGACGACGACGGCTCGTAGCGTGGTGTCTCGCAAGCAGCGGGATTGGATTGTCACTTGTCGTCGCTATCTGCTATTGCTTGCGCCGATAGGGCTGTGACTGTGAGCAAGCAGCAGATCAGTTCCGGGCCATGCGGTTTTACGCAATGCTGCAACGTCGTAGCTACAACTGCAAGATGCAAAGGATATGCGAGGATATCATGCTATGCTCAACAGTTATAAGATGTAAGTCAGTTCACATAGGCTGTTGTTGCCAAGGGCAGGAGGTGTATGGTTGGCACGCGAATTCTACACTCACTTTGGCATTGTCGCTGTTACTACTGCTGCGCGATTTGGGTTCAGTGGGCTTTCTGGTGGTCTGGTGCGAGCATTGCCAACAGTACTATTTCATCCTTACAGAAAAACCATTATGTCTTAATTGTTGGCTGTTGTTGCAGATGTATGTTCAACTGCGCAGCATGCTGTCGCATCAGCTAGAAAGACGCTATTGCTTCAGAGCTTTGCATGCTGTAGGAGAGGGTATCCTCACGTTTGATCTTTGCGCACCGTGTATTGCGAGCACCTGTATGTGAAATTCTGCACAAACCTACCGAACCATGTGAAGATGAGACTATGATTAGGCACTACCAGTGACCATGAACGAAAATACTGGTTGGAACGTGGCATAATCGCTGACACCAAGTACCGCCTTGCACGTTGTTGAGTCAATCTGTGTATATGTGTTTTACATGGTAACATGTGAAGCACACGAAAGTGTTTTGCCACAATGCACGATGTAGGATTGCATCGAATGCCCCTTGGCTACAGACGAAGATTGTAATCTGCAGTTGTAAGCCGAACCACACACATCGTCGAAGCAAAGCCAGCCAAGAGAGACGCAGCCGAGAGCGACTGCAGATGACTGCAGCAGATTAGGCGTGTGAAGAATCACCATTTTCGACTTCTCTCAACTCTGCAGATCGTAAGGCCGTATGCCCTCAGTCCCTGCACCCATCAGCCTCTGCCTCTGTGTCAGACGCCAAGAACCGAGCTCCCAAGCCCTAGGCCCAAGGCCCAAATCCTTGCACTGTCCTACACTCCTCCCTGAAGCCTTACAGAGCGCACGGACATCCGACTGTGACTGGAGGTCTGCCTGGCACGGACCCTGGGCTGAGCAGTCCTTGCTGGCTGCAGAACGACTCTTGGCCAAGGCCTTGCCTAGAATTCTCGAAGCTGGAGACCTTCAAAGGCTGAACCTCTACATTAGAGAGAGGGTTTTGCGATTCTGGGCTCCAGGCTTCGGGTGCTTGGAGTTGTTCCCTGCAGTCCCCACAGCTTCTTGGTCAGGCTTTCCACCTTCAGCGTCCTGCTGGATCCTCAGATCCAGCAGAACCATCCCTGACGTCATAGCGAAAGCCTTCTGCAGCATGCCCCACACATATCCACACATTGTGTACGAGACGTTTGGTTGCCAGGAGTGGCTGAATGAGACTTACTACAAGCGTCACATCGGCGCTTCGCATCGAGGCTCTGCCATGATGTAGACCTTCGTGAAGAGGGCTTCTGGCTTCGCTCCGGTGATGCGAAGCCGAAGCTAGCTTAGTATAGGGGCCTTAGTATCTAAAATATAGTTTGGGGGTACATTATTAACATTATACTATAATTGTAATAAGGAAGCTAGCTTATCCGTGTCTATCCCGTCCCGGGCATCTCAGCAACATCCGCTTGGAGTGGACACGTCAGTGCAAGGCCAAATGCAGAACAAGCACATATTCCGTGCCTTTGGTTCCAAAATTCACTGATGAGTCTGGGCTCTGCCAGGTTCGGGTGTCAGCTATGTGTGACGGCGAAAAGATGCCGGGAGGACAGATTGTTGCAATCTCGACCGGATTCAAGCATTCCACGGCGGGTGCTTGTTCTGGGTGCTCTCATGATGCTGCACAAGGTCTGTAGAACATTGTAGAACGATTGAGACGAAAGTCGGGAGGTTTGTCTACGAGACCAAGCGCTTAGATGGCTGTCGAAAGCTCGTGCAAAATTGAAGATGTGAGTTCCGTGTTGGCCTCCGGAAGATCACGCGAAATAAGAACAGGTCGCCGCAGTCTGCCCTGCTAGTCCATAGTCCTTACCATCAGCGTTCTGAAGCCGGAGTTACTCAAAGATAGAGCTAATAACTGTGACGGATCAACTAAATCACGTCGCACAACATCCGGTCATGCAGAACCGAAGATACCATCCTCATACGTTAATTCTGCAGGATGTGACGACGCCGCGGCCATGTGAGCCCGTGAGCGATGTGCCCCATTCTGCGAGCCTAAAAAGTGTCCGATCCCAACCGCCTGCAGAGAGCCTTCGCATGAATGGAGGATGAAAGTGAATCGCAGATGCCCTCATTCCAGATACCAGTCGTTGTTTGTTTTACTCCAGATGCAGGCCGCCCAGAGAGTGGCCGTTCCTGACATGCCAGCAACACCCGAGGCGTGGTGGATATCTGCCCCGGCTGCCAGGGTCAGTATATCACCTATATTGTACAATTGTATTTTATATTTTTTACAGTATATCTTGTATTTCCCTTTTCAAAATTATAGTTCAGGATGTTGAAGCACCTGGGAGCCCGATCTAGGACTTACTTGTGAGGCACAGAATCGCAAGGTGTTCGTCTCATCTTTGGCCGGTGAACCTCGTCATGCAGGGCTTGTGTTGAATCTGTCTGCAGGGCTTGCCTGCAGCTGTAGAAGACCGGCTATATCAGAGCATGATGAGCCGCGACCTCGGAGCTTGCCGATTGGCCCTGACTCGAGCTGGTGAAGCTCAGGCTCTGTGGATCAAGCATACCACGACGTTCCACTCTTCCTCCACTGCCTTACGGAGCAGGCAGCTGTATTGATTGCCTCTGCAGACAAGCGCACTTAGCCTCCACTTACCATGAACGGTAGCATGATGCTGACACTCAAGCGCTGGTCTAAACGTCTTGAACGTTTCGATTCCTGACGAGTACAATCGCTCACATCCCCCCGCGGGCCGGCTTCAACTTGTGCTGAGACCTGTCTCGCAGGTTGAGAGGACGCTTGGTGGCGATGCTCAGCAAAAGGAGGCCTTGCTTCGATTCGTAGTCCTAGCCTAGCTGCTGCCAGTCTGCTAGATCTCAAACTGGTCGCTGCAGAACCAAACCGATGAATTTTCACACATGAACCCGTCGGCGAAGCCATCTTTGTACACTTTCCGCGACAGGATGAGATCGCGCTATCGGGTCTCGAGGACCGCGGAAATCCAGAAGCATCGAAGTCTCGACGTTAAGGTAGACCGAATAATCATCGTCGATTGTGGCTATATGATATGTGATTATGATTCTTGGAGTGCTGCTCTCGTTTTGGTACTGTGCAGCGAGGGCTTGTTCTCCCAGGTTGCGCCACGTGGCTCCCGTGAGCTAAGCCTCCCAGGCTACGTAGCTCTGCAAACCCTAATCACGAACCAACCTGAGCGTATGAATCCATCAAGCCAGACACCTACTATATAGGGTACTAGAGCCCCTAAGGCCCTTGAAAGTAGGTACCTGGAGGGTTAGGCAAAGACTCTGCAGCATTGCAGGAGTACTTGTCTGCCGCGTTTGACGACGCAATTTGTCAGGGCTCCGCTCCTGGCAGGCCTCAAAGCAGTTTGAGAAGTAATGTAGGGGCCTTAATAATTACCTATACTATTTTGGGGGGTTCCTTATTATAGTATAATGGGGCCCGAAACCCCATTCTAATTTTAATTATTCAGGCCCCTACATTAGCCCCAAGGTTGTGAGTTCCAGTTCCTTCTGTGTAGGGACAAACAAGACAGTGCTGCTGTGCGTTTGCAAGTCACAGGCCTGTGGCTCGTCCAACGGAGACAGAGTCGGGCACTCACGCTTTAAGTCTGTCTGTAACAGATAAAGCTTGTGATGGTTTGATGGCTTGACGGCTGCTCCTTGGCACTCTGCTTGATGGTTAGAACTCAAACTCCCTGTTTTGAGACTTTCTGCCCATGACCGTTTGCATGGAGGTCATGCCGAACACGTTTCATTTGGAAGCCTCTGCCTGCAGATCTCCATTGGAAAGCATCCCTGGCATTCCTGGCTCTGGGCCCCTGCTTCAGAAGCTCGGCAATATGAGATAAGAAGTGCTTTCAGCTTGAGACACGAAGGCTTTTGTGGGTATTCCGGGCACCTGCTGGCTGGTAGTCCACAGAATTGTTTCGAGCCGGTAAAGTGGCACCCGACCTTGAACTGCTTAATTGCACGGAATACTGTCGATCCCTGTTCTTGGGCGGATTGAGAATTTCCAGCAGGCCGAGTCCTGTCTTGGGGGCTTTGTCGGCAAACTTGTCTGCTTGTTTCGTCTGGGTCCGTGATGCCTGAGGAATCCGCAGGCTTGTGCAGATTCGGGTTGTCTTGATCGTTTGATTGATTCGGGAGGAAAAAATCCCTAACTCCCTAAACCCTAAGGCCCTACAAACCTTAAGCCTTAAGCTGTTGTTTCGATTCAGGACTGCGTCTTGAGTCCTGGAGCGGTGGAGACAGTCATGTATAAACTCGTTTGCAGCCTGATAACCTTATGCTGTCAAGGCGCTGGGATCAATTCTGCTTCTCATCGGAGCATTGCCACAGTTTTTTCGAGTCTTCAGATTCCGCCGCTGTGGCACTTCCTCGTGGCTTCTGAGTGGCTGAGGTGCATGTAGACATGATGATCGTCATGCTTTCCTGTGCAAGCATGGGGTGCAGTTGCGGCAGCAAGCACTTCGGAAAACATTATTTCTTTCCTTCCCGATTACTCATTCTGGTATTGTTTAGAGGGGAAACCTAGCTTCGTTGATAGAACAGTTTACTTTTGCAGCTCAGAGGGTTTTGTAGCGCAGTGTAGTTCTTCTTGCTTCGCTTAATTTACAGATCCTATTCCGACATGCTCGCCACGATGGCACTGCTTTTTTGGGCTGCAAGCATGAACACGCTGACCCACCGGGGTCATCGTGTTTCGGTGTCAGCAGAAGCGGAATCAGACGCTGATGCTGCGAAGGATTTCCTGGCGTCGGATGCTGCTGTGCAGGTTTACGGCTTGCTTAGAGTGTGCCGCATCAGTGTGTACCATTCCATGGTGCGGCTGGATCGAGATGCAAAGCGGCAACTGCGTTTCTGGCAGATGATCACTGGCAGATCGTTGCATGGGGAGGCTTTTGTGTTTCATATTGACAAGCATATACCTTTGGGATGTCCTTGCGATTTACAGCAATTTGAGAGCCACCAGTCACGAAGCTTTGTTGCGAAGCTAGAAGCAGAACAGGGCCCTCGACTTTGGGAGCTGTTAGAGTTAGAGGTGGCTGCTCATGGACGGGAATGGGTAGGAGCTGAGCCCCCTGCAAAGTTTCTGAGGGCGCCTCGTCCTTTCTTGCGAAAGGTTTTTGCAGGGGCTTGGCAATCTCTTGTGTTTCCTCATTTGCCGAGAACGAAGCAGTACGGGTCTTCGAGCCTGACAATCAAGTGGGGGTTGTGTGGGCAAGAGCCGCCCCCATTACCTGCTCACGCACAAAACTTCCCAGAAGAGGATGCGTCAGAGCCTGTGCAACTGGAAACTGCTGTGCTCGATGAGGCCATTGACTTCTTGCAGGAGTATGCAGCGTCCATGAATCCTGACATGCCGGGAGAGCAGTTCCAGGAAGCTGAATATCTCGCGCTTCAGCGATGTGTGGCCACTTTTCAATCTCTGCTGGCCGGCCTTGATCCTAGTGCATTTGTTCGGTCGGCAAGGGAGATGGTGGGCAAAGGCTCGGGTCTGTGGCGCTCTTCTCGAAGGCCCTATCAGGTGGCATTCTTGGTCAAAGCAGTTACCATGTCCTCTTTGCTTCGGGGTGCCTCGGCAATGGGGGAGGCCTTGCAAATTGCCGCAAGCATCATCCTGCCCAAAGTGTTGCAAAGTGTGTTTCGCGACTTGTTGCAGACTTGCCACGAACATATCCCGCACGCCAGTAGCATTTCGAGATGGAAGCTTGTGCTTGACGGAGGCTTTATGCTCTTCCGGCGAATCCGAAATGAAGCACTGCGCGATTCCGAGCAGCCTGGTGTTGTTCATTACCTGATGGCAGATGCGTCGTCGCAACATGGACGTGAGTTTGAGCACATCATTCTGGCAAGCATTAAAAAGCAAGACTTGGGACGGCTCTACCTTGCTGCAAATGCCCTCTTCCACATCTGGTGACGCGGCTACGCAAGATGTAGATGCTGGATTTAGGGTGCCCCAGCCGAAAAGTCAAAAGGTGAACCCTAAACCCCAGCGCGAACAAGTGTTAACAAACCGAAGTCGCGCAACAAAGATAGCATGTTTATTTTTAGTGCTGTTGCTGTTCGGAGAGACCTCAGGCAACAGGTTGAGAATGATGATAGCGAGGCTCTGGCACAAGAAACCCAGCTCCTTGCAGACCTTGCAGCTGGCATCGAGCAGCATCATTTGCCAATTATGGCCTTGGGGTCAGGGCGGACCAGCTTGCGTGATAAGTTCTGCACTGTCATGTTTGCGCTTCTGTTGGAAGCTGGTCCTCACATTTCCAGTCTCGGTGATTTCGCTCAAGATATTGTTGCTGGAACCTTCGATCTTGGAGTCGAGTTCTCCTTAAGTACGATATGCCCGACCTCGTGCCGTGCACTTTTCCCTTGGTTCGATGCCAGCAAGGCTAGCAGTCCAGCTCGTGAGCAGGAAGCAGTTCATGCAAACGAGGATGATTTGTTTGATGACGTGCCAGATGATCCTGTTGACGCAGAGACTATTTCCTTGCAGAGTATGTTGTCCATTCCAGGACCTTTGCACATTCTGCACAATGCTACGAACCGATTGCTCGAGCATTTGCCCTATGTCGGAAAAGCGATACCGCGGCTACAGGCAATCTGCCGTTTCTTGAGCAATCACGAAACCAAGCAGCGTCTGGTCTCCACATGTTTTTCTGGTCCTGTAAGCCGGTCATTTCAGTCGGACATACTAAATTTCCATGCCAAGGTTAATGAAGGGCGTTGGGGCTCAGTGGCCTTTGCTGTGCCTGAACTGTTGAATTTGCAAAAGCCGTTGCGGAGATTCTGGGATTTGCCAGCCTTCGGCAGTGGCCAAGAAGCAGCGGACGGTCGCCATCGCCATGACGAGTCGGGCACCGGTGCAAGGCTCGATTTAGTTCATGAAAGCATCGAGCTGCCTGATTTTTGGGCGCAGCTGATGACTTTGAACAGCCTTTTCAAGCTGGTGCGGGAGCTTTTCGATTGGTTGGAATGGTGCCCGTGCCACCACAATCGAGTCGCACCACCGGGCAAGAAACGGGCCTGGGAACTCTGCCCCCTGCGTGGGCGGCGTCTGCCGGAGATCTCCTGCGGTGAGCTGTTCGAAGTTATCAACCAGCTTTGCCTAGTGAATGCTTCGCAACTTTTCTTGGAACTGCCAGATGATGTTTCCGATGAGTGCCGCTCCTCTTGCCTCCTGGATTTTGAACACGGCCGCGGTCATCTTACTTTTCAGCTGGTGCTGAAGATGACGTGTTTTTTGGAGCCTCCTTTGCTGCTGCTGGGCATAGCGCACCACGACCCAGCAAAGCCCCAAAAGCAGCGAGATGCATTGCGCACATGTTTGGTGTCCGACTGCCGACATCCGCTTGTGCTGAAGCTGCAGGAAGGTGATCTGAAGGAGGAGGCCGAACTGTTCATGGGGGGAGAGGACCTGCGAATGCTTGATGCCCTGGCAGCCTTTATGGGAAGTCTTCGCTTTGCTTGGGGCGCAGAAAGACGGGTGGAAGGTGGCCATGCTCAAGTCAACATGCTGACGCTAAGTAGACGACACCGTCATGAAGCAACAGACTCTTTGGCCTTGAGATTGGGGGAAATCAAGAAAATCCTCTCTTCAGACAGCATCACACTGTTCTTGGAGTGTGTGCAGGCTGCCCGAAGTCCGCAGAAACTACTGCAATCACTAGGCATGGACAAGCATCCCAGCTGTCGCTTGGCAAAAAGCTCATGGGACCCAATTTATCGTAAGATCGTTTACCATTCAGATCCGCTCTCGTTGTACAGTACGCAGCAACCGGAACTAAATGTGAAAGTCCCTGCTCCCCGCGGTGGGGAACATGTGCTGGAGCCGTTGAGAGACCAACCTGCAGACAACCAGGATCTAGCTCCGGAGACGATCCACATGCAGCGTCAGCTGGCCTTGCGACGTGTGAGAAATCATCTGAGCGAGGTCTGCAAAGGCCAAGAACCTCGTAAACTGTTTTCGTGCAACATTCCTCCGTCCTCGCTGCGGCTGTTGTGGCAATGCTTGGCCCCATCCCAGACCGTACCGGCTGTTGCGCCAGGAGGTGAGGGTGATGCTTCTGCGCCAGTTTCGCTCGATTCTGCACAGGCGTGCGCTGATGCATTAGTCTTGCAAGCGTCCCAGAATCAAAAGGTGTTCTTCAGGATTGTTGGTTTTGGACTTTCTCGTGCCCATCTAGCGACACCAGGAGATTTCGACAAGAGTGATGTCGGCATTGTCCTTTTGAGAGGCACAGAGGCAGAAACTGCAGACGGCCCTTGCCGTGTAGAAACGTCTGCAGTAAACTTGCAGTCCCCTGCCGGTGGCGCTGTGTCTGGATTGGAAGCGGCTCCACTGGTTCTGAGATTATCTTGCCTCACTCTGTCCCATCTTCGGTCGTTGACGGTTTGGGAGGAGAGCACGTCGGTGCTGGCCGATGAAGCGAGTGGGGCAATGTTCATGTTAGTGTCTGCCTCAGCAAAACCATTGGCGATACGTCATGAGCTGCCGTTGGCTGACAGATCCACGTATGAGCTTGTGGAGCAGCTTCTTCAAGATGGTTGGGAATGTGTGGTTGCGCGTGGGCAGCAGTTGCAGACAGGTTTTCAAAACCAGGTGTTATCCATGCTCGTTGATGATGTTGGGAAAATTCGGGCTTTCAGGGTGTGCCGATGTACACCTGTGTAGTGCACGCTGCGCAGCTGTTCGTGTCATATAGAATGTTGTGCTTGTGTCAAGTGTTCACAAATCAGGCATAGGGAGCATCTGACGGAAGCGCCCCTTAAACAAGCAGATTTGCACCCTGTGAGGAGCCAGGCTGCCGAAGAACCGTATGTCCTTGGTGGCCTCAAGCGCTGGTGGATCTCACCTGCCGATTCTGAGGACCCTTTCAGCCAGCGCTTGCGCTCGTACTTGAGAGCGTTGCTTTCCGCCGATCAGCATGAATCTCCCGTTCCTCATTTTGCTGAAATTCCTGTCTACTTGGGTCTTCTAAGCCAAGATGAGCTGGTGGTTTGGCAGGAGAAGCAGAAGTCGATGCGCAAGAGACAGAGGCCAGCTTTGCGAGCTTTGGCAGATGTGGACGAGTGGGATGTGCCTGATGCGGAGCCGAAGAGAGCTGCCAAAAAACCACGCACCACTGGTGGCAAGCGCAAAGCGAAGCCGAAAGCCTTGCAAGACAGCGAAGCAATGAAGACGGTTTCGCTCAGCGCTGAAGCCGCTGATGGCCCCGAGCCTTCGGCGCCCGTGCTGAAAGATGAGGCCGATGAGGCCTACGATGAGCTCCAGCATGGAGCTGGGTTTGTGGATCAAGGGCCTGACAGCATGGATGAACAAGCTGTGGCGGATGAAGTGCTTGAGCAGCTAGAGCAAGACCTTGCGGATAGTCATGCAGCGGCTGCCACCGACCCTGCTGGCCCTGCTTGCTGCGGAGCCGAAGACGATGACAACCCTGGAAGTTCTGGAAGCAGCAGTTCCAGTTCGAGCAGCAGCAGCTCGAGCAGTTCAGACTCAGACTCGTCATCATCTGCCAAAGCTGCGCCTGCGTCTGCTGCCAAGAGCAAGTCGCAAAAGTCAGGTGGTGCTGGGAAAGCGAAGGCGAAGGCGGCCAACAAGCAAAAAGAGCCGACGCAGACAACGGCATTTGCGTCTCGTGACAAGAGCAACCGGCTCGAGTGGGGGATGCATCACCTTGTACCACGCTACAAAGACGGAGTGCTTCATAGCTATCAGATGTCTTGCCACCATCCCAATCACAACGTGGACGGTGGCAAGCTGTGCTCACGTGAGCTTTCGGTCAACGTGGTTGGTTCTGAAGAAGGTGCCCGACGAGTTCTGAAAGCCTGGGTGTTGCTCGGGCACAGTCTCCAAGATAGAGCCTCCCATATGGATAAGTCCAGCAGGCAGAACCTCTTGGAGGCCCTCAACGATGGCACATTGTTGTCAGAGGCAGAGTTAGATGAGCTAATCGTGGCCACAGCAGACGAACCAGTGGTTGCACCGTTTCGTATGCCTCCCGAGTCTGAATCCAAGACAAAAAGCAAGGGCAAGTTGCTTCTGGGGCGAGCAGCCAAAGGCGTGCCGAAGGCCGTGCATACACGGATGGAAGAGCTGGCAAAAAGGGGTGGGGTTCCGCCCACTACGTTGGCTCAGCGTGCAAGGAATCAAAAGAGTCCAGGCACGACGTACCATGTGCCCAAAGAGCTACATGAAGCTCTCATATTCGGTTACCTACATCCAAATTTGCCACCGCCGAGTGGCTACTGTTGGAGACATTCGGTCGAAGGTTGGCGCCTTGTGATCAGGGGTGGGTGAGTTGTTCTACTCGACATGGCAGCCGCCAAAGACACGGGTGCCAGCTGCATGCTGCTTCAGAACTTCAGCGGCTCCTTGGTTGCACTATTGATTCACGCCTGTGCGCTGGAAATTCACCGAGCTGGTAGGGAAACGTAGCCGCCAGGGTTGGAATGTCCATGTCGGAGCAATTGAAATGAAGTTGTACTCAATTCAGAAACATGTGCTGCTGCTCAGTTCCGTTCTGCGCGGACGGTATGTGGATGCTGGCGATGTCACGTGTGCTCCCTGGTTGCAGAGCCTCGTGAGTCACTGTAGGCTTTCATGACCGGCTCGATGCTTGCAGCGTGTGCCGTACTGTCGCTACATTTGAGGATTCGGATAGAGTGTCAGCATGTCAGCAGACTGAGGAGGGGCTGTAGGGGTCGTGAGGTTATGATGTCCAGAAAAGTTAAGTGTAGCGTGCAGCCTGGCCTTTGTGTGATTTCGCGTGAGCAGCAGCAGTGATGGCAACGTGTAGTGTTTGCGTTTGTCAGATATTTTGTGTGGTGCAGGCGTAGGCTTGGGCTTCCCACAAATCAAGAAAGGACCCCGACTTTAATTCCGACCCTTCGCGCTGCCCTGGGCCCTGGACTGGACTTGACTTGACTGGACAGTATTCTCCCCCGCCCACACTGAATGCCATACCCGACGCCCTCAAGTTGGCAGAGGCAACGCGTAGCAGCTGAGCAGCTTGCGGCTTGCAATCCCACGATCCCAGGTTTACTTCGATGTGGCGTTCCATGGCAGATCTCAGATCGAGTCGAGCCAGCAGCTGTTAGGCCAAAATGTGCAGTGAGAACAGATGCAAGAGTGTAGGTGAGGTTCCTGGTTGGAAGCTTGAAGTGCCTGTGTGCGCGGGTGTGTGTGTGTGTGTGTGTGTGTGTATGTGACAGTATGGGATGGAAGACTGCACTCATTACTCATGTTCAATTGCCGACCAAGGACGAGCTTGTCTGCGAACAAATGTAGAACAGTCTGTGAAGCTCATCCTCATGCGCCCCATGAGCACAGTGCAAGCTCATTCAGATGCGACCCATTTGTTTAGCCCTGAGCAATCTGTTATGTTGTAACAGTATTGAAGCTTATGGTTTCCGGGCTTAGTTTCAGATTTAACTGTCTCGGTCTAGCGTCTGAGTCCGAGTCAACAGTCCAGTCCGAGTGGATGTCGACACATCAGTGATGAATTTGGTGATGGCGCAGATGATGTTAAGATTGCTGTTGTGGCACTGTCGTGAGAGTAAACCCGATTGATTCGCTGTGAGACTACTACTATAGTTGTTGACACTCCAGGATGGCGACGTCTAGAGATGTATTCATGATTTCTGTCGTGGTTGCTCAGAAATTGCCACAGAAGTCTGCTGAAGCACTCGTTGTTGCCCTCGACTCCTCAGACACATCCCGCACAAAGTGTCAGTCCTTGTCCGGTCCAGTACTTAGGGGTATTTGGCATCGCCGCTCCCGCAGACCGCTTCCGAAAACCAATCCCGTCACAGGATGTAGTTTTTTTGGTGTTATTTCGTGTTTTTCAATGTTTTGGTAAGTTAATTGAAAAAAGCACGAAAACAAACAATGCATGGCATATATCAGGTGCAAAATCATCAAAACACAGCTTTCTTCAACAGGAACCCCGCTCATGCCTCTTTCGGGGTACATTTATGAACTTTTGTGGCTCTTGAGCTTTTTTCTGAAAGTCGAAAATTAGGTCGAATTCCACGATGCAGCCCATCTCAGGTCAAGGCCGTGAAAATTTCAATAGTACTGCCTGCTGCGTTGGCGTGCTGTGTCTACGGGAAAAGTCCCCGTAGAAGTTCCAGGGAATATTTGCACGGGCGAGCTCGAAGGTTATTCGATGGCATGACTTTACGGGGTATTCTTCCGTAGCACGTGGTGTCTTGTGTTTGTTGTCTTCGGCAGCACGCCCAGCCGTGTTTAAAAGTCCACGGGTATTGGGTGAACGGAGTTGAACGGAGTTGAACGGAGTTGAACGGAGT